CGATCCCGAACGGAGACAACATACCCTCGGCTTCCTCGGCGTCACCGCTCTCATCATCGACGCCCTCTCCATCGGCGCCGCCTCCTGCCCCATCGCCGCCGGCAACCCCGCCGACGCCGTCGCCCGCAGCTGCTGCCACGAGGTCACCGCGAACGTCGCAGAATGCAAACCACGTGTCCGACAGCAAACCACGCGGAGCCGCAAGCCTCCCGAACAAATTGGGGGCTTCTTGTACCTTCTGCCATTTGTTCGACGGGAAGCTGGAGGGGGGTCCGCCAAGCATATGTTTGGACAGCAGGTTGACAATCTCCTCGACGCGCTCGGCGTCAGACTCGCCATCATCGGGGAACAGCTCGACGGCATCGGTGCGAGACCAGTCGCCTGGGAGGCAAGCCATGATCACAGCCAACTGCGCGCGCTCCAACCTGGGCGTGCGATTCACAATGTAGCCGAGGAGCTGCTGGTTCTTCTGGCGTTGTGAATCGAAGGGGCGTCGGCCTCGGATAATCCCACCGTTCGTGATCCTCCTGCGGAGTTCTCGAACGAACGCTCTGCGGAACGACCTCATCATTCCGCCTCCCCGCAGTGCAAAAATCGCATGTTTGATCCAAGTCACGGTGCGGTCCAGGACGCCTAACGATACTTCCCAAGTGGTGGGCAGTTTATGAAGGACACATTGCGTTCGCAGTTGCCGATCCCCAGACTCGAATGCTTCAGATCGCTCTGCTCGCGCGATGCTCGAGTCGCCATCCGAGCACGAGGCGCGCAAACACGTCTCGAAGCTCGTCTTGTGCGGGCCTAACAGCCGCGTGCCTTGAGCGAACTTGATGGCCTGCCTCCAGTTGTTGGCGGGCGCGCTCTCGACGGCGAGCGTCGGGATCCAGGGGTGGTACCTCCACTGGGTAAGAATAAATGCACGTACCCCCGTTTCCCTGACATTCGGCCCATCATGCACCCTACCGCATCCCACAATGCTCTAGTGCAGCATCTCCTAAACCCACGGATTTCACTTTTGTTCTCTGTCGCCAGTCCCAGTTCCACTCGACCCTCCCCGCGCCCGCATCTAGCTCCCGTGAATCCCCGCAGGCCCCCTGGGCCTTGCACGCTGGCGGCGCGCTGCGTTTACTTGGGCCCTGGGAGGACCCCGACCAGCGTTACATTGCGCGTTCCCATGGGAGGGGGGGGGGGGAGGGCACGTGATCAACGAGTATCGGTTGCCAAGCTGGAAGAGGGTCTGGACAGATATGAGCGCGCACGCGTGTTTGGTGGGGCCAACGTCGCCTCGGGTGAAGTCCGCTGGCTCAAGAGCGCCCCCGAGATGCACGACGCCCCCGAGGTCAGACATGTCATCGGCGACCCTCGGCAGCCCCACATCGCCATTCACCGCGCAAACTGTCATTGGTGTTTCGACGGTTCGGCTCGTTATATTCAGATTGATGGCCCTACCCCCCTTCTGGGCGACGCTCGTGGCAGCCGTGTCGATGGCCTGGCGAATGCACCCTTTGCGCGCGATGCCGGAGACGCAATGATACCACGTGTGCTTCACCCGAACCCACTTGCGGTCTAAACCGAACCGGGCGCCAAGAGTCCTGACGCACCCCTTCATCGCCAACCTGCTCGAGGACACGACGTGGGCTGCCGTGCGCCCGACACTCTCGCAGGCTCTGGGGGCCGCGCCCTGCGTCTCCAGCGCGACCTCGGCCACGTGCGCGACGGCCATGGGGCAGCAGGCGAAGGCATATCCCGGGGAAACGTTCGGGCCGATGGGATCGTGGCCGAAAGTGGGGCGGGAAGGGCGAATGACACGGAGGTCGCGACGGGGGCCAGGGGCAGGGGGGCAAGGGGGAAGGGCGACGAGCGGAAGGCGGGGGCAGGAGGAGGGGGTGAGCAAGGGCGGGTAAAGCGTTGGAGGGACGGGGGCGAGGGGGGGGGGGGATAGGGAAGTTGGGTGAGGGGGCTGATTTCGAATAGCCGCGGCGACGCGGGGGGGCGGCATACCGACGCCGTTATCTGCGTTTTCTGCATGCCTTGCCTCGCCTCCTGCTTTTCCTCCCCACTCCACCTCCCCCTCATGCTCATCGCGCTATTGATGCGCCGTACGTCCTGCTGGCAGCTGCTGCGCAGCTGCCCGCGCCTCCCAGAGCCACCGCTCCTCGGGCGGCGGGGGCGGCGCCGCGACGAGCTGCTCGCCGTCGCGCGCGCCGCCAGCCGCCTCGGCAGCGCGTGCCCCCTGCTGGGCCCACGCCTCCAGCGCCCCTTCGTCGTCGCCCAGGCTCTCGCCCTGCAGCGCCCACGCCACTAGGGCGGCATCCTCCGCCATCGGCGCATCAGCCCGAAAAAAAACTTCGGGCACGCCTTGGGCCGACGCGCCTACTTACGCGGGTGTTGATATTCGTGTTCCTCATATTATTATTGTTCCTCCTCCTGTCCGTCCTCATCCTACGCATGATGGTGAGACACTTGGTACACTTCCCTGCGATAAACGAAAGGCCCCAAAACATAAACCTGAGGAGATACACTAATGGGAGGAATCCCCACTCAATCCTCCTCCGCCTCCGCCTCCGCCTCCGCCTCCGCCTCCGCCTCCGCCTCCTCCTCCTCCTCCTCCTCCGCCTCCTCCCCCTCCCCTCCCCCTCCCTCCTCCTCCTCCTCCTCCTCCTCCTCCTCCTCCTCCTCCTCCTCCTCCTCCTCCCTCTCCTCCTCCTTTTCCTTAGAAATAACTATTCCCTGTCGCACCCCGAAGCAAATTTGTAGGGCGGGCCGGGCGTTTTCCCCGAAGCGTCGTCACCACTGATGACTCTGAAGAATAAACAGTGGCAGCCGCTTCACAAATTGGTGGCGGGTGGTTTTCAACATGTGACCCTCGCCTTCGCGCCGCGCACATTTGGTTTCAACATTTGCCAGAGCTTCACGGATTGAGGGTCGGCCGTTTTCAAAATGTTGCCCTCGCCTTAGCGCCGCGCACAGTCGTTCTAAACATTTGCAAGGGCTTAACGGATTGAGGGCGGGAAGCTTTCAACAAGTGGCTCCCGCCTTAGCGCCGCGCACATTTGTTTTGAAACTTTGCAAGAGATTCACGAATTGAGGGCGAGTCGTTTCATTATGTGCCTCTCACGTCAGCGCCGCGCACATTCGTTTTCAGAGTGTGCAAGAACTTCACGGATTGAGGGCGGTTCCTTTTAGTAATGTGGCCCTTGCCTTAGCGCGGCGCATATGTTTTTGAACAATTGCATGAGTGTCACGGATTGCCAACATCAGCGTGTCAGTTTTTTTTGAAGGGTTCAGGAAGATGCCGGTGCAACAGTTATGCTGATTCGCTGCGTTGAAGTCCAAGGAATGGTGTTCTGGCACGACTCAGGATCGTCAAGACGAGACAGTCAGGTTGTCCCGTGGTGTTTGAATCCCGAAAACAATGTGTTGTCATGCTTCAGGGTCAGAGAACGGTTGTCTTCCAAAGAAGAAGTTCCTTCAATGGACATGAACCGTTGTAAGGGCCTGTGAAGACGGAGGTTGGAGGGACGGTGTTTTCCAACATCGTTGATGACTCTAGGGTTTGCGTACACTGGTCCTCCTCCTCCTCATCATCATCCTCCTCCTCCTCCTCCTGCTCTCCTCCTCCTCTGTCCTCCTCCTCCTCCTCCTCCTCCTCCTCCTATCCTCCTCCTTCTCCTCCTCCTCCTCCTCCTCCTCCTCCTCTCCTCTCCTCTCCTCCTCCGCCTCCTCCTCCTCTCCTCCCTCCTCCTCCTCTCCTCCTCATCATCATCATCATCATCATCATCATCATCATCATCATCATCATCATCATCATCATCATCATCATCATCATCATCATCATCATCATCCCCCTCCTCCTGCTCCGCCTCCGCCTCCGCCTCGCCTCCTCCTCTCCTCCTCCTCCTCCTCCTCCTCCTCCGCCTCCTCCTCGGCCTCCGCCTCTCCTCCTCCTCGTCCTCCTCCTCCTCCTGCTCCTCCTCCTCCTCATCCTCTTCCGCTTCCTGCTCCTCCTCCTCTTCCTCCTCTTCCTCCTCCTCCTGCTCCTCTCCCCTCTCTCCTCCTCCTCCTCCTCCTCCTTCGCCGCCTCCTCCTCAACGTCCTCCGTCTCCTCCTCCTCCGCCTCCCTCTAGATAAGTTCCCCCTGTCGCACCCCGAGGCCAGTTGTTAGGGCGGGCCGGGCGTTTCGCCTCAGACGTCCTTCCCATGTATGACTCTGAAGCTTGAAAAGTTGCAACAGTCTCGCAGATGGAGGGCGGGTCGTTTTCAACATGTGGTTTTTGTCTCCGCGTCGCGCACATTCGCTTGAAACATGTGCAAGAGATTCACGGATTGACAGCGGGTCGTTTTCAAAATGTGCCCCTCGCCTTAGCGCCGCGCACCGTCGTTTTAAAAATTTGCAAGAGATTCACGGATTGAGGGCGGGTCGTTTTCAAAATGTTGCCCTCGCCTTAGCGCCGCGCACAGTCGTTTTAAACATCTGTAAGAATTTCACGGATTGAGGGCGGGTCGTTTTCAAAATGTAGCTCTCGCTTTAGCGCCGCCCACATTCTTTTTAAACATTTGCACTAGCTTCACGGATTGAGGGCGGTGCCTTTTCAAAATGTGGTTCTCGCCTTAGCGCCGCGCACATTCGTTTAAACAATTGCAGGAGTTCCACGGATTCCCATGATCAACGTACCAAAATGGAATTTTGGTGTGTTGCTACGAGGTTTTGGAGTCCCCAAAATGGCGTTATGGCACGATTCTGGATCGTCAAGACGGCTGCAGTCAGGTAGACACGTGGCGTTGAAATCCCGAGAACAATGTTTTGGCACGCTTCGGGATCTTCAAACGGTTGTCGTCAAACGAGGCAGTTCCTTCAATGGAAATGAACCATTGTAAGGGGCCAATGAAGAGGGAGCTTGGAGGGAGGGTTAATTACAACATCGTTGATGACTCTCTTGGGTTTACACTGGTTCTCCTCCTCCTCCTCCCTCCTCCTCCTCCTCCTCCTCCCTCCCAGCGCTGTGCAATCATAGACGCAAACTGGCGTAATTGCCGGCGTGGGTGCTGGCACGTCTCCCGGGCAAGCGCATCCTGTGCAATCCCAATAGTACTCGTCTTCAAGGGTCTGGCAGGTAAGACTCCACAAATCCCACCCAACATCACAGTCTGCTGCTCCATAGGGTGTGTAATCATATTCGCAAACGGCTGGTGCTGGTGTCGGTGGTGGTGTGGGTGCCTGTTAAGTCAATTGTAAATTCCGCTGGGCCCGCACTCCCAGCGTCACGATCCCTAGTAAGTGATGCTGCGTCCGCTCCCCCAAAGCCTCGCAAAATACGCTGCGTCCGCGCTCTCAGAGCCACGACTGATAGTACATGACGCTGGGTTTGCGCTCCCAGTGTCAAGATGCTTCGCAAAAAATACGCGCGATCCTCGGTACATTACGCAGGTATGCCCAAGGTATGCCCAAGGTGTGCCGAGTGTATGTCGAAAGTACTCTGAAGGAACGTCGGACACACTCGTTGAAGGTACGCCGAAGATACGCTGAACGTATGCGGTTTCTGTCTTGTTTGGTTGTCCCAACCCTCATATGTTGGGTTCTCGCTTTTAATAGAGCACTGCTTGCTCTGGCATTCTCCCGCCTGCCCTCCTGCTCTCTTCTCTCCTCCTCTCATCTTACCTGCTTGCCTCGTACATGGTTCCTTTTGCGCGCCAGATTGTCTCCTACCTCGCCATCCATGTGGGGATGCGATCTGCGAAACCGTCGCCACTATCGAAGGCTGCTGGGGGGACCAGCGGAGTGACGTCTTACCCAAACTCAGATCAGACAGGCCAACCCTGGAGGGCTGCGATCTGCGAAACTGTTGCCACTTTCGAGGGCTGCTGGGGGGTCCAGCGGAATGAGGCACCACCCAGACTCAGATTAGACCTCGCCATCCCTGGGGGGCTGCGATTTGCGAAACTGTCGCCACGCAGTTGTTATGATTTCGAGCGCCGCGGCGACATGGCGCAGGCAGCGCTGCATCGTTTGCGCACTACCGACAAAAGCAGCACTCTCCTATCTCCTCTCGTCGCGTTCGTCGTCGTCCACCTCCCCTTGTCAACTTCTCTCTGCTGATACCGCGCTGACTGTTCGGCCCCCATCGCGCTTCGTTCCCACCCTGAGCCTGGGCCCTCGCTCCTCGTCCTTCTGTTGTTGTCGTGTGAATCATGCCACGTGCGCGTATCCCACGTAGCTTACGCAATATACAACGACGCCTGCACTGTCATTGTCAAGGCAAGTTTGGGCCAACTCCTCTTGCCACTTCATGTAATTGGGCTGGGTACGTCTCAGGGTAAGTTGTTGAGTTGAATTGATTCGGGGACAGGTTAACTCATGATACCACGCCCTTGCAGGATCACAGTGAGGGTTCCGCTGAGAAGATTGGGGAGCACACCAGCCATCCGAAGCGGTGCATGGACCACTGACGTTAGTTCAGAAGTTTGAGAATGGAGTCGCCGTAGGCGCCGTTGTTGGTGGAGGTCGAGGTGTCGGTGAGAAAGAATCCACAACTACACATGCGTTCTCCGCGTGGTATGTGTAGTGTGAGGCGAACGCGTCGTCGAAAAGCAAGGTGCTGCACAATCCTTGAAATCGCAAGCAAGTGCCCGCGCCACAATCTCCTTCCCCAGGTGGACAATACGAAATATGGGTGCAGCCGTATTCGGATTGGCACAGCTGTATGCAAGCATTCACAGAATCTAACCCCGTTCTATCCCAACCTGTGTAATACCCGTTGCCGCAAATGCCATGACCTTTGAAAACGCATTCGTCCTGCACGTAGCACATCACTGCTTTTCCGCTGTCGCCTGCCTCGGCCTTGATATCCGAGAGCGGCTTCACGTAGCAGCCGTACGTCCCAACGAGGCAGCAGGCTGGCGAATATTCATAGCCACGTTGCGATTCGCAAGCTGCTATGCAAGCTTGCTCGTCTGCGTCGGAGCTCAAGAGCTCGAAGGCCCCTCCGCCTGCAGAGCAGCCGTAGCTGGAATATGGCGGAAACACGCCACACTTCATGGTGGCTGCCGCCTTCAAATACACGTCGGGCTCCCCACAATTATCAAGAAATTCATCCGTGCCGCATTCGCCGTCCCCGTCACAGTACTCGTTGTACCCCGTTTCGTTGCACGGTAGAAAATCCGCATCGGGAATACAAGAACCAACATCGATAGCCGTCACAATACCACACTCACCAATGCCAGTATGATCAGGGCAAACCATGGTCCTCGTCGAGCCGGTGTCGTCGATGACCGCAGCCCTCATGGATATATGATTGTTCCAACCCGACGCCAGGATACGGACATAGCGTGCCTTGACCTGTGACTGAAAAAAATTAAGCACCTTGGTGTGCATGTCTGAGTTGCCCGTAAACTCCAAGCCATCGTCCACGGAAGACCAGTAGCTGCCATCCAGCGAAGTAGCCACCTCGTAGCTGGATACCCACTGATCGCAGCAGTCATAACGACCTGCAGTCACAACACCAGCAACCCACACTTCAATGCCAAGGTCCATCTGCATCCACTGGCCAATCGTGTTGGACGCGGCAGACCAAGCCTGCACAGAGTCGAGCATTGACTGGGCGTATCCAGCACTGCTGCTGTAGACTCGGTCGAGCTCTGGCACATTCATGTCCACTCCTTTGCACGCCTTGCAGGCAGATCCGCCGTTGCGGTAAGCGTTCGCCTCCCATTCCACAACGCCAGAAGCCATATAGCATGTCAAAAACCAGAATCTATCTGTCATCCAGGCATCGCAACTCTCGCACGCGTTGCAGAGAATTTGGCAGTCCAGATCAGAGTCTACAGGGGACCCCCCCCTGCCGCATGCATAAACCCAGTCACCACCATCGACGAAGCCCTGGCCGAAATGCTCGGTCATGGAACAAAAACCCGCTGTGGTGCTTGGCGTGGCCGGCGACGGCGCAGTGCTCGCTTTAGCAGTCGTACCCTCTGTATGTCTGCTCTGGAGACGGCGCACCTCTGCTGGCCGGATGCCGTCAAGGAGACAAACAGACAAACGCCGTGCACGTCATGGTGCTTTGGCAGAAAAATAAATGAAACGGAAAATGCAGTCAAAAAGCGGAAAAAATGGAACGCTCCTGGGGCCTGTGTGGACTCGCTGCGTGGCCTTGTGGGGGCCCAGTCGGACCCGCTCCAATACCGTATTGGTATTCGGAGGGCTCCCAGGAACGAAGTTGAGCCACGTCGGGGTCTCCTCCGAGCCCTACGCCCGCCAGCCATCGCTTTCTCCTGGATCGATGGAGGGCGGGGGGATGGTTCGGATTTCGCCACGTGTTCGAGGAATTCCGAACCCTGCCCCCGCCGCCCATCGAGTCGTGCATCGGCGAGCGAGGGTAGGGTTCGGATTTCGCCACCGAGCTCTTGAGGCTGACTTGAGGCAGTCATGGGGGCCTATTTTGGAATGCCCCCAGAGATTATTTGAAGCATCTCTGCGCACTGTATAAAAAGGCTCCTGGGGTTCATTTTGAACCGCATCTGGGACGTTTTGGCCCGCCCCGCAACGGTGATTCGGAGCCGCGACAGGGACTGGAGCACCCCGAGGGTCATGTGGAGCCGCCACGGACGCCTTATTTGGAACGCCCCTGGGGCCTTGGTGAACCCGCTCTGGGACTCTGTTTGAAGCCTTGCAAGCGCCTATTGGGAACAGCTTCGAAACCGTATCTGAAACGCTCATGGGGTCGATTTGGAGCCGATCCGGGGTCTGATTCGGACCGCTATTGGGACTCATTGTGGGAGCTTACACGGGCCTCATTTGGATTGCTCACTGGGCTACGAAGCCTTGTTTTGAACGCTCGGGGTGTCTGGTTGGAGCCGCTCTGGGGCTATGAAAAACGCTCCCGGGATTTAGTTGATACAACTCCCTCGCAAAAATGGCAGTTGGAACCGCTGGATTTGGAACAAATCCCGGAGCCTATGTGGAGCCGCTCCGAAGCCTTACTTGGGGGAATACCTCTACGACCATTCTTCGGGTGATAAGGAGGTTGGGGGCAGGGGAAAGAGCCGACTGCTGGCAACTGCGATGGGTACAATGATGACGTTGCTGGTGGCGCGCCCTCGAGTTGGCGACGACGCGTGATGCGGGTGTTGCGCCGCGATTCATGTCACTATCGCTCTCACTATCGCTCTCACTATCGACCTCACTGGATCGATCTCACAACCGATCTCACTATCGATATCACTCACCAGAATTCGCTATCGATCCCACAGTCGATCTCACACTCCATCTCACGATCGATCTTACGATCAGCCTTACTATCGAACTCACTCGACCGATCTCACTAACGGTTTCACATTTGTCCCTGAAGCGATCTCAATCGATCTCACAATCGAGCTCACAATCGATCTCACTCTCAATATCACTGTCGATCTCACAATTGATCGCACTATCGACCTCAATATCGATTGCACTATCGATGCAACTGTCGATCTCGCTATCGATCTCACTGCCGCTCCCACTATCGATGCAACTACCGATCTCACTATCGACCTCACTGGCGATGCGACTATCGATCCCACTACCGACATCACCACATCTCGATCATTACCGATCTCACTATGGATCCCACGACGATCGGGACACCACGGCGGGACACCGCGGGACACCGAGGGAAACCAATGGAAACCACGGGACACCGCGGGACATCACTGGGACACCGCGGGACACCATGGGACACCACGGGACACCACGAGACACCTTCGGGACACCACGGCGGGACACCGCGGGACACCATCGGGACAACGCGGGACAACGCGGGACACCACGGCGGGACACCCCCAGCCACCGCGCGCCCACCAGCGGGCCGGACTTTTGCATCCAAATCGCCCTACCGACGGCGGGATCATTCCTCTGGCGCGCCCGCGGCGACACACTGCGGGACACCATCGTGCACCGCGAAACACCACAGCGGGACACCCCCAGCCACCGCGCGCCCACTGGAGGGTTCGACTTGTGCATCCGAATCGCCCTAGCGACGGCGGGATCATTCCTTTCGCGCGTTCGCCTCGCCCGCACGCACGACACGAACACGAACACGAAACCGAAACCGATTCCACGGTGGGGGGCTCTCCATTGCGATCTCACCCCCCAAACCTCCGATCGTGAGCAACTCCCACGCCTTACTCTGCCTCCCCATGTTTGTTCGGTGCTGCTCCTGGGCCTCATCTAGAGCACAGCTCCCTGTGTGGTGCGAACCTCGTGACGCGTCCAATAAGAACCCAAGGCGGGAGGGATAAAGTTGATCCAAAACCGGAACCGGACCTGGAATTGGAATCGGAACCAGAGCAACGCGCGCTGCCTGAGGGGGGGGGGCATCCGGAACCGGAACTGGAACCAGCACCGGAGGGATGATCATTAACCGGAACCGGAACCAGAACCGGAACCGGAACCAAAGCAGCGCGCGCTGCCTGAAGGGGGGGGGGGGTCATCCGGAACCGGAACCGGAACCGGAACCAACACCGGGCGCATGGAGAGGGATAAGGATGAGGGATGATCATTAATCGAAACCGGAACCAGAACCGGAACCGGAACCAAAACAGCGCGCGCTGCCTAAGGGGAAGGGGTCATCCGGAACCGGAACCAGAACCGGAACCGGCACCAGGCGCATGGAGAGGGATAGGGATGAGGGATGATCATTAACCGGAACCGGAACCGGAACCGGAACCAGAGCACCGCGCGCTGCCTGAGGGGAAGGGGGTCATCCGGAACCGGAACCGGAACCAGCACCGGCACCGGGCGCATGGAGAGGGATAGGGATGAGGGATCTCAAATTAACCGGAACCGGAACTGGAACCAGAGCAACGCGCGCTGACTATAGGGGGACGGGGTCATCCGGAACCGGAGCCAGAACCGGAACCGGCACCGGGCGCATGGAGAAGAATATAGGGATGAAGGATGATCCCTAACCGGAACCGGAACCGGAACCGGAACCAGAGCAGCGCGCGCTGCCTGAGGGGTCATCCGGAACCGCAACCGGAACCGGAACCGGCAGCGGGCGCATGGAGAGGGATAGCTTAAAGGCTGGAGCTTCTTAGCCTAGTTGGGAGGTGTTTGTGGCTGGGCTGAAGTTACTTGCGTTCGGGCATATGGTTCGCAAGTGGCCTAAGAAATTCGCAAGTGTTGTAAGTGTTTGCTGTGCGTCGTAAATATACTCGGGGAACTTATAAGTATGTGTCAGCCTTCGAGCACCGAGTTCAGTGACTTAGTAAGTGCAGCTAAGTAACTTAGGTGTACTTAGCATTAAGTAGCTTAGGATACCTTAGTGCCACTTATGCGGAACTTACAACTTTCCGACATCTCCCCCCCCCTCCCCCCTCCATTTCCCCCGCGCGCGCCCCTCCGCGCGGCAGGCGCGCCTCGCCGCGGGACGTGCGCAGCGGCGTGCCAAGGGGGGGGCGAGAGGGGGAGGAGATAGCGATGGCGATCGCTTGAAGGAGGTAGTGGGATGATGGAGGGTAGCGATTGCGATCGCTGGAAGGAGACGCGACCGATAGCGATGGAGATCGCTTGATCGAGCGATGACGATCGCCCCAGTGGAACTTTGGAGGGTAGCGATTGCGATCGCTTGAGAAAGGACGAGGGGGGGAACGCCGAGGAGGGAGATAGCGGCGTCGACCGCTTGAGCGAGGTACTGGGAGAACGGTTTGGAAGGGGCGAGTGCGATGAGGGCGCAAAGTGAAGATAAGGATGGAACTATAATATCTAGGATGAGGAATGGGGGGGGGGGGGGTCGCGAAGAGGGGGGGAACTGGCAGCGATTGTGATCGCTCGAGTGGTCGGGGGGGGCCGACCATGGGAGGGCTCGACGTGTTTGCAGAGCGATCTCGATCGCTATGCGGCTACCGCCTTCTGCGTGGAATCAGGGCGGCAGCCGTTGTGGCTTCGCGCGCGACGCGACGCGCGCTTCGCGCCGCGCGCGGGGCGCCGCCTGGCGCCGTGGGAGCGGCGTGCCGCGCGATGACGGACGCCCAGGAGTTGCTGGAACAGCTGAGATGCGCCACCACCTCTTGTCCAAGCTGCAGCCTCGGAGCGAGCCATGGAAAGAGCTGCTCAACGCCCAGGCGACGCTGGCGACGACCATGCTGCAGTCATGGTCTTCCATTTCGTCCGAGGACTCGGCCGAGCTGGTGCAAGCCATTTCGGAGCTGCCATCAGGCACGAAGCAGCGTGGTGATCTCCTGCGGGCTGTCACAACGCTCGCCGCTGCCTCGGCGGGCGCGCTGGTTGCCAACGCAGCTGCGCCCCAGAAGCTGCTGAGCAACTCTCGCGCCCCCCAACAGGACTTCACGGCCATCGCGGCCTACCTCACGGCGAGGCAGTGGGAGACAATACTGGGCGAGGGCAACGACTTTCTGGGCCGCGCGGGGGTCGTGCTCCAGGCGTGCAAGACGCTCGGGTGGGGGGCCATCCGCGAACCCACAGTCCAGGTTGCCTGCTGCATCGCGCTGCAGGTAGATGGCGCCGACAAGGCGCTTCGACAATGTCCCGTGACCCTTTGGGGCTACTGCGAGCGTGCGAAAAAATGCGCAAAGAAGTTGCTCCCTTGGAAGCTGTGCAAGCAGATGGCGGAGTCCGAGGGCGCCTTCGTTTCGGCGCTGCCCGCTTCCCCTGTGGACTACGCCAGGTTGCATGCCGAGATGTGCGCGCGCGCGTTTCCCAAGAAGGGCCCAACGGCTTTTCCGCTGGATTCCGCGCAGTTCATGGTGCCGACGGACGGCGTCCCCATGCGCGAGAGCAAGGCGCGGATTAAGGCGCTGACTGCGCCGGGCTCGGCGCAGGGCATCGCGCTGGCGCTGGCGACGCCAGGGCAATGCGACGCCAGGGCAGTGCCGCGCAGGCGGTGCCAACCGTCGTCGCCGTCGCCGCTCGAGGATGACGGCGCCGCCTCGAGCACTGCCGCGCCAGCGCGTCGGGCATCGGGCCTGTCAGCGCAGGAGGCCAGGGACAAGATCCTCGAGGAGCTCAACGGCCGCAAGCCGAATATGCCCCAGGAGAGCGAGGGCGAGGGCGACGGCGGCAGCGGCAGCGAGGAGACAGATGCCGAGGCGGCGGGCG